ATGGAGCTATGTTTTGTATAAAAAAAATTTTATCGGATTGAAAACTTTTCGGAAAAAATGATATTTTTCTTTTTTTTAAGAAAAAAATATAGTTTTTACTCCGAAATTAATATATCTTGAGCAACTTTTAATTTATCATCATTACTTTATTTCAGATATGTGCCCCGCGAACGATTCTGAGCATTATCAATAGTAGGAAATACACAGACACCTTGCAAGACACTTGCAATAGCGGTCGAACGTCTTGGACAACATTGGAGTCGGAAATATCTGAAAGTAACTATTTTGGTAATTATTTTTTATTCACTATTTTGAGGCAATGAATTTCTAATCGATCAGTTTATAATATCTGTATCTATATGCTTAATACTATTATTTCTATTAACAATCTTTGACTACGGTCATAAGCCTTTTTCTTTACTATCGATTGTTTTACAAGACGGTAAAAGTGTCTTTTGTCAGAAAAAAAAAAATAAACTTGTTGATTATGTAGATTAGTAAAAAGAACGATTAAATATATAAGTACGAGAAGAAAAAAATGTTTAATACTCTCTATACTCGGAAAAAAATGACTTTGCAATAGTAGCTAAATTTTGTTTGTGCGACGCTATCATTTCGGCGCTTATGATAGCCGCGGGCGACGGCAATTAAAAACTAGAATAAGCGAATATAAAAATAACATAAAAATGGACCCATCGCGACACCTGAGCTTTAGTTCCATTTTACATTTCGATTTCATTTCTAAACTATATTGTATCCAATATCCATCTTTTTTACTTAGGAAGAGAATTTAACCCGGCTTTTGTATCGACGCGGGTTTCTCCATCCTTGGCCTTTCCGTTGACCGTGCGCGTGAAAGGATCTGCAAGCCCGAACACATGTTGGCGTAGCCGCGATCGTCGCCTCTTCACTGTAATCGGACGCGGCTTAGTGACGACTCAAATTTGAAATATGTTGATCTACTGTCCGGTCGCCACTCGGTTTCACCTTTAATATATCGAGAAGGTAAGATCTGTGTAATAAAATATTAAATACCTCGTAAAGTATTCACTTTTTGATGACTTTGTCTCGACAGGTCTGCAAAGAAAGCCGGAATTGCTACTAGGGAAGAGAAATCAGCTGAGCAGGGTTTCTTTGAGCATGAGGAAGGTCCCCTGTATGGTCCTGGACTGACAGATTAATCTTCGTAAGTAAAGATCCTTCATAAGCCCATACAGGGTAGGCGCGGTGTTATCGCATTTTTATCCAGATGGTACCGAACGAGCTATCAATACGCGTCACAAACTCTTTCAGATACACATAAATTATACTCACAAATAGATAAGGAAGCATACGCTATTATTTTCAAGATGTTTTTAAATCATATTTTGCAAATGATGGAGTGACCATAGTCAGGAAAAGCATAATGCCGAACAATGAAGAACCGACAAAATTACCATTTTCCATGTTATCGACTATATCTGTTCTTGTATAGACAAAGATATAGACACCCATGTGCGAATTTCAAAAAGGCTCAGTGCTGGCTTGGTACTGGTGCCAGAATTACCAGTACTGGCTGACGATTTTGGGCCAGTACAAGCTAAGATCGAGGTCATTACTGGGGCAATGTCGGAATGATAACACGGGTCCCAGTCTTGGCGCCAACTTTGGCCCGACACAGAGTACTAGTACGGGGACAACAATAATTGCCAGTATTGGGCTAACTCTTGGCGCCAACTTTGGCCCGACACAGAGTACTAGTACGGGGACAACACTAATTACTGTATCACTCGCGGCGTGTTGCTTCGTGCCGCGGTCGTTACCTCCGGCGCCGCTCGAGCAAAAAGCTTTCTAAATCCCCTCGCGGCATGTTGCTTTCGCGCGGTTGTTACCTCCGGTCCCGAGCGAAAATTTTCTAAGTCGACCCAATACATCCCCAGTACTGAGCCGACTTGCGACCGTAGATCAATATTATTTCTGGCCTTATACACGGTCAGTACTGAGACGAGACTCGCCTCGGAACAAAATATGGTTGGGAAACGATGCTCCCCGCATCGACTTCGTCGCCCCTTTCGTGTACGTATTCCACAAACGTTTTACACATTCGTACGGACCAAGCGAAACGCGTTTGCACGTCTGT